GGCGCCGGCCAGTCGGCGGCCCAGGGGGACGACTGTCAGAGCCGACGCTGAGCTGATCCCCCTGATCAGCAGCCGAAACGGCACGTCCCGGCCCCCTCCTCCGCCCCCGCCCACGCTGCGGGGCGGGGGCGGGGGCGGGGGCGGGCCCACTCGCCTCGCGAGCCGCCTGGCCGCCGGGCCATTAAAGGAGGCGCCGGCGGCGGCCGGGCGGCGCGACGCTCCGCCTGCGGCGAGAGCGGCGCCCCCGCACCTCCCCCGGCTGGGACCGCCGGGCGCGCCTGTCAGCGCGTCCCGCCCCGGGGAGTGCGGTGTGGGCGCGCTGCTCGGACGGCGGCGTATTATGTGCGGGCTCAGCGCCGGCGGGAAGCCTTTGTCACACGCTTGCACACGCGCACAGTTTATGCGAGCGGTGGGAAATCTCTGAATAATTGGACACCTACAGCGGAAATGTCGACAGCCGCAGCTGACAGCGTTGATGAGTATGGGATAACGTCACTTCTCTGCGATACACGGGCGGTGTATGACATTTGTGTGCACTTGTCCGCGATGTGAGCCCAGCTCCGCGACTATTCTGAGCATGCCATTGTTTAAGGTTTTATCGATAGAATCGTTCCAAAACGCAGAAAAGCTCAAGCCATAGCACTGGGGCCATCAACTATTCTTGTTGGGTCGATGCCTTTTGCCCGCTAAGGATGCCGAGTTTGCAACCAGAGACACGTTGAGTTTCATTTAAAATCGACAACGCTGCTGACATCCGGCTTTTCCTTCCAAAGTTTCATTACACAGTGCACACTGTGCATTCAAGAGCACGCGCAATCAAAACATCGAGATGCCGATTACGCCAGCGTTGATGGAAGAACTGAGAGATTTGCCAATAGTCGTCATGTGCCTTTCATCCACAACCAGCCAGTTTTCTGGCTTTCAACAGAAGCAGGCTCACAACTTGAATAAATGGTTGCTGATAAGACACGTGTTGGCCTCGTATTTCTAGTGAATGGCTGACAAACGTTAGAGGCTGGAATGTATCAAGCTATTTATTCCCCACTCAAATTAAGTCATCTGACGTCGATCATGCGAAGCCCTTTGCAAATCCAGATGTTCTGGTAATTTGATCTGAAGTGATGGGGATCCCGGTGCAGCTTCCAATAACTGTCAAGTTAAACAGGTTTTCTGAAGCACGCAGTCGGTAGCAACATCTTTGTGCAACACCTCGTGCTTCATTCTGTTTGTATGATAGCGAAGGCCGCCTGAGATCTGTGGCAGCTGCAGGGCTTCACTCTGTGCGTACCATCAACAGGAAAGGTGGTACGCCCCCTCTGGAGGCTGACATAAACCTAGCAGCGACGAGAAGCCGGGGTAAGTTATCACTGCACCAACATAGCAGCGTGGTCAGTTGGTTAATGAAGACCTGCTCTCCACCGGCCTGCCCTCTTGTTCACTCGGCCCAGGTCATTCGGGTCCTTCTGAGACTAACCAAGACCTCGATGCCCCTTGCCGCCCTTCAGATCAGTTGATAAGACGCACATGATGAGCTTTGTGACGAAGAAAAATGAAACATCATGGAGCCAGGTCGCTGAACGATAAGGTGTCGGTAGACGCCAGTCGTTTGTATTTCATTCGCTCCAGCGTCCATGTTGAATTGGTGAAAATGTTTACTATGAACCGCAATACCTGACCGTACAGATAAATATGTCTGGATGTCGCCCTTCTTACACATCGTCCAACGTTGTACGTCAAAGTGTACTTTTACGACACGGGCTCTCACCGGCGACCAGAGAACCCTGATCCGACGTGCCCTCACTGGACGAAGTCCCGGCTTCGCCACTTTGAGAACATAACTAAGCAAACTGCTTCTGAGTCACCCAAAGCATAAAATACTAAAAAATGCGTGGTGTTTGGGCTTCGTCTGGGAACATAATTCGTACATCGTATTATTTACGTACTCCGACAGTGGGCAGTCACATTGTGCGGCCACATTGCAGGCAGATAATCCTCTTGCCCTTATAGACAACGCAGACGTGGACCTCACCGCAGGGAATTGATTCCTGGACCTTTGATCATTAAGACCCATGTTCTACCATGGAGCTAATGAAGAACCCACGCATGGGCAGTTTCCTATTTGAGCAGGGAGAGGTTCAGCGAAGCCCGCATAATGCAGACGCGTTGCATATAGATGCTGTGATGCTGTCGCTCATCTGATTCACGCTGAAGACATAATCTAATGTCAAGGAACCCAGCCGCACACTTTGTGCCGGCAGCACAGTGCTGCATCGAACTAGCAGCAAGTATGATGCGACTGATATTTATTAGCTCAGCGGCGGTGCGTCGGACATGTTGGCCAAAAGTTCACGATTTAGCTCTCTGGCATGCGATCTTCATTTTCAGCGCCCGTCAAATGAGCTTTATTAGCTATCTGCGATGCGCATACACAATGCGACCCCGCACGGCCTGAGCGCTCTGGCAACACAGGGTGCATATGACCGTTTTAATTAAAGAGCCTTACAAATAACACGGTCAAAGTTGTCTAATTAAATTTCAAGTCTGCCGCAAAAACGGCCAAAGTTGCGAACAGCACCTTCACTCCAGGTAAATGGACATCCGGCTGCTGCCGTGTGCGCGCTGGCCGACATCGCACCGAAGAACGTATACCTGGAAGGCCGAACCACCTTGCTGCAATGTCCTGCGCACAGACTTCGACACTGCTGACGATATGGAACTCGCAGCATGCAGCTAAGCCTAAGCCTACGGGGCGCATTTACATGGATTGTATGCCTCCATGCATGCTTAAAATCCCCATACAGGCGATTTGGTCAATAACAGTTCACGGACCAGATGCTTGAAATCCCCATACAGGCGATTTGGTCAATAACAGTTCATGGGCCAGATACTATTGCCGCGAAGGGATAAAACGTAAGTTAACCTTGTTCCACAAAAAAATCGACGTTTCAATTCCGAGGAGCAATGGGGCTGACAGAAGAATATGGCAAGAGCTGCTAGACAAAATGAAAACATAAGCTATTCTGGATTAATTCGAGAAAGCTGGCTTTGCCGCCTGAATCGGACACTTGTAATGCTACGACGCGTCGAAAGTTCGTGTGATGCGAGCCGGCCGCGAGGCCTCCTTTTTATTGTCATTTGAGAAACGTTCAGCAGGTTTTTATACTACTGATCGCCATTTAGGAACAGCAATGAAGCAAGCCTTTTAATGGCTCGAGACTTTCGTCGATTGCTTGCATACATCAACCGAAAAAACTCTAAAATCCCCGCTTATCACGAATTCGAGAGTCTAACACCAAAACACTATGTCAGGATAACGTCAGCGGATGTAACTTCGATGTGCTCGCTGTCGATAGGTCCCATACCCCCAAATTGGCACGCACAGCACAACTGTGGCCCACACGGTGCTGCTCTCCCATCATACATTGGTCCATGTGCATGCCAGAGCAGCGGCGTTTGGCTATGTGCCGGTGTGACACTCGATGCAGGGTTCCTTGCCGGCGATCGCGAGATGGGTGAGACCCGAGGGTTCACCGCTGGGATGCGTCTATGTCACCTGGTGGGATGACGGCTAGAGTTCTAGAGCAGACCAGCAACATTGTTTGAGATGTAGAAAGGAAAGAAGTAGACTTGGGAGATAAACGTAGCAGCTTCGCAGTCTTATCCTTTTTATCGTCAATCTTCCTTGGGGTGAAATTAAACTGGTCGCATTACGTAACACAACTGCATCGCAAGCTTAGATGGAAGATGGAACTCATTTGAGATTTACGTGAAGTGAAATTTTCCACCAGTTTGCCAGTGTCTTGACGATTTCTCTTCATCCTAGAGTCAAATTTGCAACATTTGATGTGAACAAATGAAAGTTAGTGTCATGGCTCAAACCTAGTATCAAAATTATGAACGTGGTTCTGAGATTATTTTGTTTTATCCACTGCTTAACGTCTCTCTTGATTAGTCATGGATTACTCTCTGTCGTAAAGAAATTACTTGAATCGCTCGGCAACCAAGTCCTAATGACAAGTTATTCTTTAGTAGTCTAAAAACACCAGCAGTTGTTCTCTATTCTGTTAATTACAGCAGAGTTTGCACAAGGACTAAATTCTGTGTCGTGAACTGTTGTACTCATTTCTCTTACTTCAAAGTGTTAATTTGCTTTGAAAGTCCGATGTGGGTCAATTCCCACGCGTGTTGAAAGGTGTTGAAAACCATGAGACGTTTAAGCCAAGGTCCCAAAGAGCCCACCCGACGGTAATTGCTAAAATGTTGTCATATACCTTACATTACCACAGTACCTGCGCTTTTGTACGTTCAATCTTATCACGATCGTTACTGGAAGCTTGGCGGATTATCGGACCCACAGACAGCATGGTATAATTGTTCTTTAGCAATCCTACATGAAATGAATAACAACGGCCAAAACAAAAGAGCCTCGATTCGAAAATGTTCATCTTAGCCAATCGTGTGTTATGGACCTTTGCCAGTCGCCACTCAGCGGTGTCCTGAGCCCTCCTCTCCTTAAGGGCAACAACCACGCAAAACGTCGGAACCTGTGCCACGCAAACCCAACTTTAGACCAATTCCACGCACAATCATGGCTTGCGTTCATCCAGACCACTGCATTATGCATGTAGCTCCATGTGATCGACTTCATGTCCAATGCAAATGAGACCAGCCAGCGCAAAATCGTCCGATGGCACGCGATGCACCAGCGAGTGCCCAGCTACGGGGTGCGGTACAGCACGGCCTGGGGCAAGGTGAGGAACAGGTGCGCTGTCAGAGGCAAGCGCACACGCACTGGCAGATACAAGGACAGCTGCAGCGGCGGGCACAATTACACACGAAATGACGGGCATCGGGACAGAGACAGAGGCGGGGCGTGCGTACTTCAGAGACACACGCTGATCCAGCAGCAGACCCAATATCAGGCATGGCAACAGGCACAGCGACGAACGCCGGGAGAGAATCAGGAGCAGACGCAGAAGCAAGGACAGATGTCAGACGCAGGACAGCCATCAGACGTTAGACGTCAGCCACAGGACATCCATCAGACGTTGGGCGTCAGATGTTAGGCATCAGATGCAGGACAGCCGTGGGGCGTCAGACATAGGACAGACATCAGACGTCAGAGGTCAGTCGTATGACAGACATCAGACGTCAGACGTCAGTCGTATGACAGACATCAGACGTTATGCATCAGACGCGGGACAGGCGTGGGACGTCAGGCGCAGGACAGGCATCAGACGTCCGTTGCCAGACGCAGGCCACCGCTCTCTGCAGCGCTGCGCTACTCACAGAAGACGTCGAGTGTGACGGTGGTGCTGACGGGTCCGGTGACGTTGTTGTTGGCCGCCTGGCAGGTGACGTTCGCCCGGAGGTCGGCGCGCCGCAGTGGCGGCAGCTCGAGCTCGCTTCTGACCGAGTCGTCCTGCATCAGCTGCGGCTGCGAGTGACGTACTACACCCGAGCCGTTCTGCACCAGCCAGGTGACGCGCGGTGGTGGATACCCTGCCGCCGGCCAGGCGTCGTTATGGTGACACTCTCAGTCCAGCTTGGTGAACTTGTTACGCGCTGGTTCATTCACGCAATCACTTATTTGCCACCCATCTGTTAATTTGTTCATTCATTTGGTCAATAATGCTTTGCGTGCTTTTCGTTTATTCGCGCACGCCTCCTACGTGCATATCAATTTGTGATTTTCTGGAGTTTTCATACAGACGGACAGACCCGTCCCTACATTCGCGTCTCTGTCGCTGTTGCGTCTCTATTTCTGGCTCTGTCTGTTTTTGTCTTTGTCTTTGTCTCTATCTCTGACATTATCTTTGTCTCTGCCTGAATGCTGTCTCTCTCTCTTCCTCTCTCTCCCTCCCCGACCTAACATGAAAATGATGCCCGAACAACACGCAAATATGTCATGGTTTGCCTTTATGGTACTAGAGCACTTGAAAAGTATTATGCTGAATGCCATACAGCCCATTTTATCACCTAGATATTTCACTTGAAGCTCTGAGAAATCTTCATCATGGATTCGCCGAGTGGGTGTAATGTAGACAAAGTACACCATTCCGACAAGTGCGAGGAAGACCGACCCACCATGTCTGACTTGGCACGTCAGCCTTATTCGCTCTCCTTCGCTGCGAGAGAGCAGGCTCTGGTTGGCGATGACGTTGCCCTGGTCATCTTGAATCACAGGCGGCTGCGGCGGCACTGAAACAGGGCGCTAAATCACTCGCAAACCGTGACAAATGGTTCTGGCGTCAGCTCCAAGTAGCCATCACGAAGCCGGAAAGATTAAGCTCAAACTAAAAAGACCCCAGACGGATGTATTTCACCTGGAAGCCTTGGTGACGTTAACTGTCCTCCAAGAGAATGAAACCCACCCAGTGCCCGTTACGTGGGTGGTGAGATGCAATGTTACTGATACGTCAACGGCTTGGCGGGAGATGAACGTGACCTGGATTGATGATCGCACCGCCACCATTGTGTGAGGACCAGCGCAGTGATGTGACACCCGCTTGTCACATCTCATGCTGCACATTGTGCTCTGCTTGATTGTGAGGCGGCCCTTGGTGCAGATGCGCTTGTAGCACGATGACATGACATAACACTGGGATCGCGTTTTGCACGAAGCTTGGGGCGATGTGACACACATTTTAGTTGGCAATGGTGGCACATGGAGATATCCCATATGTCATGCAAGTGAAGAGCTTCGCCAGGCACCACTGTGATATGGTGTTTGGGGATAGTCGCCGGGTGCTTACCGCTACAGTCGTGACGTCAGGTCGCGGGGAGGGGCACCTGGATGGAATACGAACCAATCCCAGCCAAACGAGGGACCTTGGAGGCCAATCAGCCTTTCCGAAACAACGTCCGGACACCAAAGGTAAGCTGCCGGTGTCATGCTTGGCTGTGTTGACAACGATCTGCATCTGTTATAAGGGGTTCAGCCCCCCCTTGACCTCCGTTCCGAGGCCATGTTGGTCAAATCTGACGTCTGACGTCATTTGACGACCCACGTGTTTGGCAGAATGTCCAGACCATCTAAGCATTGTTCCACGCATATTTTCGCATTCTATTGACCTGTGTATCATCATCTGGCAGCGGTCCACTTAATGATATAAATTTCCTCCCTCGATGGTGGGCTATGTCCTATTTTCCGGTCGTATTCTATCACAAGGCAGCAATTGCTGCAATTCTATGAAACGCTCGCTTTATTATACACCTGGCTAGTGAGGACTTGTTCTCACGTCCTTCACGTTTTGACCATTTGTTCTCACGCCCTTTGCGTTCTCTAAAAAGGTTATTTATTTTCCTACGCTTCTGGCGCCATTGCGAAGCTGTAGAAGTCTTATGTCAAATACACTCGTGCAGGAAGAAATGTTGTGTTGCATGGACGCAGGCCCCGTATGTGAGGGAATCGATTTTTTTTTGCGTTGCGCCCGGCCGCACTGGGAGGGTTATTAACGTTACGCAAGGTGCATTGTGGTATTGTGCATAATTTCTGCTCCGATCATGGGGGGATTTGAACATTGCTGGACAGCAGTTAGCAATGGCATGCCGAGCACCTCACAGGGAAATAGATGAACTAGGAGATGCAGCACCGCAATTATGACATTCTCATCATCATGAGTCCGTTCATCTTCCCATCTCTCGGATGGATTGCTTGAGTCGTGCTCATTAGAACCGTTTTTACATTGTTCTGATTTTCTCCTGTCATTTTTTTTTTTGTCTGCTGTATAATTCATCGCTCGGAAGTACTCACTTGTGTGCTGCTACGTACCGTCTCCCACACCACTATGATGGTCTCTGTGTCAAAATGTGCCGACTACCGAAGCAATAATGCCTGGTGAGTACTTTTTAGTTGTGTAGGTGCTTTTTTTAGGTGAGTACAGTTTCTTAAACCGTCACAATGCAAACGGTACATAGAAAGTAAAAATGCGTAGGTACGTGTACTTCCGGATTGGTATCAGCTCTTTAATGAATTACGTTAAACATATTGTAACTCTTGTGGGCAAAAAGTAGGTCTTGGGTAATTGGTGTCGGGCATTACCCGATTTCTTCCTATGTGGTAAAGCGTTCCAAAACACCTCACTACAAACATTTCAATAACCCAGTTCTACAATCCTTGTTTCATTACCTGTGACATTTCTGTTATGGGTCTTGTGTCTCAGCTATGGTGCTGAGACCCGCAGCCAGCCACTGTGGTGCGCCGGCTCGGCTCACGTCCCGGACAGTTACAGTGTGTCGTACTTGACAAAGTTCTCCGCGCTGGGCCAACCCAGTTTCCTCAACAGATCCCATGCATCCTCGTATATTTTTCCACCGAAAAAACCTTCGCTGAGTAGTGGGCGTTTTTATGTGAGACAGGTTCTTTCTCTCGTACATTTACCATACACTGGAATACAAAGGCCGATCAGGATGTGGTTTATAGAGAGAGAGAGAGAAGAGAGAGAGAGAGAGAGAGAGAGAGAGAGAGAGAGAGAGAGAGAGAGAGAGAGAGAGAGAGAGAGAGAGAGAGAGAGAGAGAGAGGGAGAGAGAGAGAGAGAGAGAGAGAGAGAGAAGAGAGAGGGAGATATATATATATATATATATATGTATATACTTAAGTTTAGATATATATATGCATATATATATATATATATATATATATATATATATATATATAATAGAGGGGAATAGGATTATGAATCATATCTATGAACACGTTGGTGTAGTGTAAGCTGAAGTCGCTAAATTGGAGTGTCAAGAGTGCTCAGAAAAATACTTAACCGTTATGATCTGCTCGGACCTATCGTATGCAAATATCATGTAGTCTGATACAGCTTGGCAATCGTCATCCAGCATCGTCTTTTGCGTCACGTTACTGGCTTCGTTAATGAGGTAACGAGGTGTGGCCTATGAACACTTGGTCCTCACCTTTACCCTTACCCTTATGACCTTTAGGTCATGTGCATCGTTGGCTTCGTTTGGCTCCTCAAAGGCTCGCTGCACTGGTATTCAATGGCACTAATCCGACGCAGCTTTACGCTGGCTTTTCGATGCGTTTTTTCTTCCAGTCATTAGTTTGCTTATTTTCTTGATGGCACGAGACATTTGAACCCACTCATCCAGCCAGGGCGAGGAGAAAGCCTGTTCCGCGAGGATCAAATGTGTCTCTCGGCGCCTAAGGCAACATTCTAAAAGCAGCTGTGCTGTGGGTGTCATTTTGTATTGTTTCGAGGACCTGAGTCTCCCCATTACTGCACACATCAACGTAAGACCGGTGCCGATGTGTGGCATGAATGGCCTCAAAAGTTCAACATGATTGCTGGAGCCCACAATTATTCAAGAGAGTTGCCCCTCGGGTTCCGCGCAGATTCTGAATTAGGTAGTTCGCTCCAAGTTGCTTGCAATCAGTGAAAATGTTTGTTTCTTGTCGATTGCCACGATAATCATGCATTTACACAGTCCATCAGTCATCAAGGGAACTCAATCACACCTGCCAATGTCGCTGTTACCTCGTCATTCCAGCGAGCACAGCCGGCGACACGTCATAGCAAATCACCTAGCTTTACACGTATATTTGAAAGAGCAGGTGACGGATGTAAAACAGCCACTCGGCGCTGAAACGGAGGCTACCAAGCCTTGAACTCTGTCGTACCAGGGTGACGGATGTAAGCAGGCAGCCCCGTCGGCAGCTGAAACAGGAGCTACCGGTTGACTCTGTCGACAGGTGATGGATGTAAAAACAGCCCACTCGGCGCTGAAAACGGAAAGGGGCTGACGCGTTGACTCTGTCGGACAGATGACGTGATGTACACCTGCCACTCGGCGCCTGAAACGGAGCCTACCCGTTGACGTCTGTCGGACAGATGACGGATGTAAACCAGCCCCTCGGCGCTGAAACGGAGCTAACCGGTTGACTCCTGTCGGACAGATGACGGATGTAAAACAAGCCCACCTCGGCGCTGAAACGGAGCTACCGGTTGACTCGGTCCGGACAGAGACGGATGTAAAAAACAGTCACTCGGCGGCGGCGCTGAGTCGGAGCGACCGGTTGACTCTGTCCGGACATATGAACGGATGTAAAACAGCCACTCGGCGCTGAGTTCGGAGCTCACCGGTTGACTCTGTCGTAACAGATGACGGATGTGAAAACAGCCCACGCGCGGCTGAAACGGAGCTACCCGGTTGACTCTGTCGGAACAGGTGGGGCGGATGTAAAAGCAGCCCCTTGGCGCTGAGTCGGAGCTATCGGTTGACTCTGTCGGACAGGTGGCGGATGTAAAACAGCCACTCAGCGCTGAGTCGAAGCAACCGGTGACTGCGTTGCAGGAATATATGACATCCCGCGCATCAAGCATTCATGAAATTGGGCCGGCGCGTCTTTTAGATTCTGCTCAGCGCAATAAAATGGGAATGAGTGGCTTGTATCGGACCACGAAACACGACACTTCATGAGTGCGGTCCTCCGTTTACTCCTCATGGCACTGCCCAACAATGCAGGCCAGATGACAACAGAGCCTTTCTAGCATCTTATCACCCGATTTTTGCACCAACTTCTGCCAAGCTCATTTCTGGGACGAATGAGAGCTTAGTTTTTGCTCTGTGCTCAGAAGGAAACTTGCTTCAAAATCACGGCGGGAGAATTAGTATTTAAAGCGCATTCATTCTTTGCGCTACAGCCCAGAAGGCATTGGAGTGGAGGTTTGAGAGACATCAAAGGAGCAAAAAGGCCTGCCAACGCTCACGCTTATGGAAATATGCGCTGCATATCAAATAAACGGTCCGCAGAGTTTACTGACAAGTTTGAATGCTGCTGAGCGCTATCACTTCTGTTCGCTCCTGATGCATGTCCAAAAGCTCACACAAATGCCAGTGCTGGCACAATTCGGTGGTCAACGAGGTGAACGGGTGACCGGCTTCTCGAGGCGACAGTCACTCACAGTGTAAGGCTGGAGCACACTACACCACACCACCAACGCGCCTGACATCGTGCAGACAGCGTAAGGCTGGAGCACACTTCACCACACCACCAACGCGCCTGACATCGTGCAGACAGTGTAAGGCTGGAGCACACCACACCACACCACCAACGCGCCTGACATCGCGCAGAGTTGGACACCAGCTCTGCCACGCCCGTCCCCTCCCCTAGCGGGTAAGCGTAATAAGGCCCTCTCGCCAGTCAATGTCGCCACCACCACCGGTCTGAAATAATCACTACCGGTCGGCTGCCTTCAATAATAGCTACGGCAATTACGTGGCTGGTCGACATTCGCGCGAGTACCGGAGTAATAGCGACCGAGCCGAATGCAAACGATGGACGGATATTGGACGGCGTTCAGCTTTGGCTCTGCATATTTATGTTAAATGTCTTGAGGTCTGCCCTCAGCTGCTCTCTATTGAACGTCTACGGCCGGCGCGGGCTATTGCAATGGTAACGACTGCAGGAGCGCATACACCGCAAAATACTTAAGATGATTATCGTAGCGTTAAATGACGCCGCTGACGGCTTCATCCAACAGTGCTGAGTACTGGGACAGCGCGTCAGCAGGGCGGAAACTTGTGACATGCTTACGTGTGACCCATTGTGAAGGTTGACACCAAGGCATTCTCGGAATTAAGTGCTACCTCTCCGTTTGTACTAACAAACGATGCATCAAGACAAGCACGGGAATTAGAGGGAAAGACATGTCGCTAAGCCACACACGCCGTACCAAGATTCTGATAATCTAGCATTGACCTTCTGAACGTTGGCTGCAAAAATATTATCAAATATAAGGTCTATCGGCCCTAAACTTGGAAGGACTTTCACTGGCCCTGCATTCAAACTGTTCCAACGGAATTAAGGGATGCTAGTCTCCGTAACGTGGTGGTGGCTTAGAGCACTGGACTTCAGACCTCATTTTCAACAAACATTTTCGAACATTTTCGGGGTCAGGGCCGTCCTTTGTTAGTACGACGACTCATCACATGGAGGAAAAATTACACATGGGGTTCTCATTTGATCAAGTTTGGTTACGATCTGCAGTTCGCATCATCCCTTCTCCACGAAAACACAAATCGGTATCTTCCATTTCCAGGTAGCAAAATATGCAGCACGAGCCGGGAACTAACTTATTTGATCATGTTGACACAACCCTGATATGGTTAGCCATCTCAGCTTGTTTATGGATCTAGCTTTATGTCAATTTTCTCAAAGTGCCAGCAGGTTCCTGAGGTTGTGAATGCGTTAGTTTATAGAAGTCGCTAGCGTGTCATTTCATAGTGCGTCGCGGTGTGATTCGCATAGTGTGCACGGTCGTGGTTGGTCGTAATCAAATAATGATTCTTGAGCGTTTTCATATTTGGCGTGCTCTTACATGACACGACATGACGTCACCTCATATTAGCTTTGACTTATCAAAAGCTTGAGAAAACTTGCGTGATGCAGGCAAATTGTAGCTAGCTGTATTTTGGTGGATGCTGCAAGACTTTTGGACCAAAACTTACATCTTTGGTGCAAACGCACGTTTACACGCGTAACAAGCCAGGTGCTTTTCGCAGCACGTGACGCCAAAGGCCACGTGTATGTTGTCACTGGGGCTTTACGACGCACAACGATGATGTTACATGGCGTTGCCTGTCCCCCACTCCAGTAGGAATGGCGGGCAACGCGGGAAATTGAGCTGCGTTACTCTGGCTTACCAGACAGCAGTTGTTTGTCAGGGGAACTACCGAACTATCGGCGACATGAGATCAAATACGCCACTTGTATGAGCTCAGCTACGCTGCTCCAGAACGCCACCTGCTGAATACTGGTGAATAAACGTTGCGGATAGCCTTAGAAGAGGCATACATCGTCCAAATGATATTGCACCTTGGACACTGGGCACGAGCATAAAAAACGTGCGCTTCGCAAGGGGAGCTGCCTTAGAACCACGCTGCCCAACCCACACCATCTGCTGAAAGCAGCCGCTGCTCATTGATGACCCAGCCGCCGGCCTGACCTCGATCTGGCCGCGAATAAGCCGACCCCGTGACCCGAGCACAAAGCCACCATGGGCACTGGCCCTCGCTGGCACGACCAGGTCACGGCCTGCGTTCCCACGGCGTCGGCGCCGTCCCCGGCCGGCACGCGCCGCCGGCGGCGACGGCTGCGACGCCTGGGCTGCGCACCGTTGCCGCCGCCGCCGCCCGGCTGAGGTCATTTGTCTGACGACCCGAGGGGTGACGTTGGGCGGATGGTGCGCGCCGTCAGCCCGCCACCGCACGAACAGACGCCTGGCTAAGCACGCTCCAGTCCTCGGCGTGGGCCTCTCGCCGCTGGGCTGCGGTGCCGCTCGTGCGTCCGGGCAGTTACCAGCTTATCACACAAATCAAGCTCGGTTTGATGACATCCCAGTGGCGGCTGACCCAAATCTTCACTAGTGAGCATCGCCATGCGACGCCTTCACGCCACTAGCGGCGTGGCCGCCTTCCTCCCTCCCCCCCCCCCCCTGCGCGGAGCGCCGCCCACAGAGCAAACGTACCTATGACCTGCAGCAGGACGTCGCCGGTGACGGTGGGCACCCTGCTGAAGTCGACGCGGCAGCGGTAGCGGCCCTGGTCGGCCGGGCCCGCGCCCTGCAGCACCAGGTGGCCCTCGGTGGGCCGGAAGGAGGCCCGCGAGTGACCGAGCAGCGCCGCGTCGGCCCAGTGCTGGGCCTTGCGACCGCGCCGGTTGTCAAAGCTGTAACGGTGCGCCGGTCAGCCCCCCGGGAGTGGCGCGGCGGCGCGAGCGAGAGGGAGAGAGAGACTGGCGAGGGGAGGGATGGACGGACAAAGGGAAGGGTGGGGGGCAAGCGAGAAGGGAGGATGAGGTAGAGGAAGGGAATGAGGGGTAGGAAAGGAGGGTGAGAGTTTGAGAAGGCGAGAAGGGGAATGAGAGAAAGAGAGAGGGAGAGAGAGAGGGAAAGAGGGAGAGAAGGAGAGGGAGAGAGGGGGACAGAGGGAGGGAGAGGTAGAGGGGGAGAGCGAGAGAGAGAGGGAGAGAGAAAATGGAAAATGATCGTGCAGCTGAAGCACAAATTGAAGCAGGCAATGCCAAATCTGTTGTCTTTTTATCGGGCCGGGTGGCAAAGGCTCATCACGCGCAACAATATCGGACTACCGAATCGACAAGCTATGAGGACGATATGACGTTGACCAGAGATCGCATTGTCTGTATTCATTTAGCCAATCGCCAGGCGTGATTTAGGCGCTGTGCAGTATCCTGCGACGATAACTGCCGTTCGGCCACCCCGTGACGTGGCGACTGGACGAAGGTGGTGCAAGGACGCGACTTGACATGACCATGACCTCTAACGGCGAGCGGGGACTGAGGCCAACTCTTACCTGTATATTGGGTTCTCCATGTCGTCTCGGAACCATATGACCAGGGAGATGGAGGACCGTTGCTCAAAGTCGAGCTGCGGACAGGGAAGCCGGGCCTCGCGTCCCGCAACCACCGTCACCTCCCTCGGACCTGCCAAGCAGAAGGTAACAGTCTGATCTACCACCGTCATCTGCTCCCGATCAGTCGAGCAGAGGGCTACAGTCTGATCTACCGCCGCCATCTGCCCCTGATCAGCCAAGCGGAGGGTAACAGTCTGATCTGCCGCTGTCATCTGCCCCCGATCAGCCAAGCAGAGGGTTACAGTCTGATCTACCGCTGCCATCTGCCCCCGATCAGCCAAGCAGAAGGTAACAGTCTGATCTGCCGCCGTCATCTGCCCCTGATCAGCCGAGCAGAGGGCTACAGTCTGATCTACCGCCGTCATCTGCCCCTGATCAGCCGAGCAGAGGGCTACAGTCTGATCTACCGCCGTCATCTGCCCCTGATCAGCCGAGCAGAGGGCTACAGTCTGATCTACCGCCGTCATCTGCCCCCGATCAGCCCAGCGCAGGGTTATAATCTGATCTACAGTCGTCATCCGCCCCCGATCAGCCGAGCAGAGGGCTACAGTCTGATCTGCCGTCGTCGTGTGCCCAGACCAGCCGAGCAGAATGTCACATTTCGAGCCCCAATTGTCACCTCCCTAGGACCTGCCGAACAAACATAATGCACCGAACCGGAACTGCCGCATAAACAAGATCCTCCTGCAGGGAGAAAGACAGCAAACACTGCTTTACTGATGCATATAAATGTATTGATATCAAACGTATCTGCAGCCGATTTCACCTTTCACGTCATGTCCGGTTCCATTGGACTGATGATTGACCCTGGCAGCTTGAAAACCAATATCACGGTGACCCAGCCCGGAAAGGTCAGCACTGTCTTTGCATAGTGAATGTAATGGCTTCAGCCCCGGCCCTCAAATGAATGAAGCGGCGGGGTCGCAAGCGGCAAGCAGGAGCTGCGCTTGAGCACTGCCGCGGCCTGATAGCCGATGAAAGCGTTTTCCAATACGAATGGTGCGTTCACGACGGTGACATGGGCCCTTGGCCGTGGGAACGATTGCTGAGCTCCCCTGCGCCAGTCAGGCAGCCCTCGCGCCCAGGAAACACACGGATGGCAAGCAGCGGCCGAGTTATGGCAAGCGAGGTGACATTCCGAGCGTGCCGTGCGCCATGCATCAACGTTTGGAAAACGGTCCAGTCGAGTGGCCGGCCTCGCCCGGCAACAAAGCAGGCACAACCTTCCGACTGTAGACATCCAACACATTCAAAACTAAATGCTGCACGGATTTACCCCCCCTCACTGGGGAATAAGGGTAGCGGATTATACAAAACGTAACTATTATCTGGCGAGTCATTTCATGAAGGGATTTGTGCAGTCATTCTACACTACCAAACAATGTCTTGCAACTGCAAAAAAACACCACTTTGCTCCTTACTTAGTTGCATACCAGCCTTTGTGAATGACAGTAATGCGGTTACGTTCTCTTCTGCAGCGTTCCCAACCATACCTCCTTTCGAGGACAAACCGCATGTCCCAACATAACCAAATTCGATACGACCTGGCCCGATCCAGATCTCTAAGCCCGGAAACGCCGCCAGCAGCTCCACACATGTGAAGGCGGAGCGGAACTCAGAGCGGCCATCAGAGAGCGGGCCGGTCGTCGCCGCGGGCCGCCGGCGGAGCGGCTCGCTCTCGGGTGGGGCGCCAGGTGCCCGGTAACCGCTCTTCGATCCGGCTGTCACAGGCAGACGCGGACCGGCGGCCGGCCCTCAGCGCTCGGAGCCGGGGCCGGCGGTGCTCCTCCAGCCGTCGCTAATGGTACCGCTGGAGACGCAAAGGGATCAGAAGCCCCACGCCCTGACGTCATCACGACGCGGCGCGCAGTGATCCATGACCTCGCCGACCTCGCTGACCTCGCTGACCGTGACCCTCGCTGTGTGATCGGACGGCTCGCCCCGGCGGTCACCCTCTCACCAGGAACACGGACCCAGGCCGTCGTCCCGCCTCTGCGAACGCCTGTCCATGCCACGCCGTGCCGTCAGAAACGCTGCCACGGGCCACCACGTCGCCCTCAGCCTCTCGATTTGGTGCGGCGCCAAGCTGTCAGACGCACTACGTGCAGCAGTGTCAATGTGTGGCTTCCACGCGATCACCCGCCTCCTCACAGACGCTAGTAAGCGCCAACGTGTGCCAAGGCTATGGACTTAACGACGTGCTGAAAATAGAACCATTGCAAAGTGCTCGAAAAACATCGAGGCACTCGTACTGCGTTGTGAGGAGGAAAAGGGAGGGGTCCACCCTTGATGAATTGTGCTGGCGCGCGCAAGTTGGTTCGCCAAACGAAGATGACGACATTTTCCACGAGCATGCCAATTAGGGCTATTTGAAAACCTCCCGTCTCCAGTCCGCCAGAAATAAGGATGTGCTGAAGTAAGAGATGTGCACAAAACGTGCTGTCTGCTTTTACTATGGCGGTGCAAAATGAACACCCGTATATGCTGCCCTTCGTTTACAAAGTAATTATGATTTCAGTGCACGTGCTTATCGTTTTCCGCGATTTTTCATCGACTGCATGCAAAAAGAAAAAAGGAATAAACCTTCGTAAGTGAAGTTATCTTTGACCATAACATATTAAGCGGACACTTACTCACAGCAAGACAAGTGCAGTGCATGTTTTGTGCGTCTGGACAGCAATGCATGTTTTCTTCAAGTGTCTGAGACCAAGCGCCTAGAGAGATAAGCCAGCTATTATGGGGTGACCTCTTTTGCCTGAGCCAACAAAGGAGCCGTGCACCTCGGTGCTATTCCCGCAGATTACTACTGCCGCAATATCTTGCCCGACGTGACTCAGGAGAATGCATCTCGTTCGCCCGAGGTTGTCTGATGATCGACATACCTGCGTCCCTCAGACTGGTTCGATGAGCACATCAGTCTGATGTGTCTCAACCAACTCTCTGATCGGTAATCTGACCCACCCATACCAGCTCTGGTATAGCAATTGCGCTGCAGCAGCTCTGGTGTCGAGTGGTAGTCCAAACCACACGCAACAATACAGGGATTGGTAGCCAGGTCGACTTAGGCCAACACTGAACTTGCAGCCTAAGCTTCTCACAATATGGGCAACGGGTCACTGCCGGCGTCGTCCTACGTCGTCTGTGAGCTGCCTATGTCACCTCCTGCCTATAAACTAATAAATTTATCATGGATGCATCATCTAGGTGTCAGCATCCGTATCGTCCGCAAATAACCTATTGCTGGGAATCCGTACGCAACTGTTAGAAACACAAACACAAAATAATTGTAACGGATGCAAACAACACAGGTAACGAAGATCCGTTGCGTTACCGGCATGAAAATGTTATCAACAACAGAGACACCTGATCGAAGAAAACCCGATTAAAGTCTTTTAGCACGCTATTGTTTTTTTTTTTAGAGTGACAGTCTTTTAGTCAGCAATGACCATTTGCGAGATTTGGGATTAAAGAGAAGCGTGTGGAGGTCGGGTGATGCTACGTCCGAAAAGGACTGGCATTGCTACCGAGTGTTACCCTCAAGCAGGGCCTTGGTTGACGGCCTCAGCATGCTCTCAGTGAGACAGAGTGCTGCGAAGTCTTGGGATCAGGAAGCGTCCGAGCAGAACAGGGCGACTGAGCGTATTTTTGTGCAGTAAACATGATTGAGCTATCTAGATTTTTGTGGCCACAAGCGATTGGTCGGAATTTCTTAGATCTGGCATTATGGACGTAAGTTGTAAAAACATGTGATAAAATCAACATTTCGCGGTGTCTGCCTTGGTGCCGATTATCCTATCTACTATCGTAATAATTTCTCCCGTTGCGTCCGGTATCGTTTCAACAGTGTGTGTAGGAGCCATCTGGGGTGCAGTGATAAGTGCCTAGCCAGCTTACCAAAGGACGGCGCGCAAGCCCAACCTGTCCAGCCAGTGAATGCCTAAACTTCGCCTAGTTTGTATTTAAAGCGGATTTTCGCAAGTTTGTGAAGCACAATCCAAGGGATTTATGTAGCTTTAGCTGAGAAGAGGAAGGATAACTTCCGGAAGCGTGTATTAACCACTTCAGAAACTTTCAAACCGCCTGAGAAATAGATACGAACAGAAGGGAAGGGAATCTGTCCTAAGTCGTCAGTACTTACGCCAAAGTGTTTTTTGCCCCGGGGCGTCCTTTTGTTTGCTGGCCTCTTGTACTGCTTTACCTTCGCCAGCTTTGGTGCCTTCGCCACTTTTTGTGTGGGAATTCGTCTACCCTGACTATTTCACAAGTTGCTTGGTTGAGTAAAGATTAAAAACATAGCGGTAGCTGTGGTGCTAGCAAGAGTTCTTGGGCTTCCGGTTTTAGGCGTCATTAGTCGGGATTTTTACGCCGAAAATGATCGTCTTCCAGCATATCAGCTGGTTGTGCTGGTCAAGAGGCTTTATGGGGTAAGCATTAGTTTTATTGATAACTCATCGTTACGAAGCTGTTTTCAAGGTCAAAGGTGGTCACTCCTCGTGACCATAAACATGGCTTCGAAACGTTGAGCTTTCGCAGCACAATCAGTGCTTACCTGATGAAGTTACATCACCAACAGCTATGGTACATCGGAGCACGATTATTTTCAACGTTAGAGCTGACTTCAATCTCACATCGACGTGGCTACGCTACTTTGTAGCTGTGAGTGAGACCTACACTTTTAAAAAGTTGTATGCCTTTCTTCCGGCCTGCACGTGAGATGGTTAGACGGCCATAAATATCCTGCGTAGCTTTTCATCTGACGCCAGCGTAGAAGGGATTGAAGTAAAACAATGCCAACATTCACTCCCGAAGCATAATGTACAGTGCCTATATACCTACGGCGATGTCAATGATGCACTGCCATTTCTAGACAAGCCTTACTTGGACCTGATTTGCCGTTCGCTCCACCCTGAATGACACGTCCTCACTGACATCTGTCATCATCTGTCTGCGTGATGTAGTGGTTTCGCGGGATGATTTAACGTAAGCTGTCTGACTTTGTCTGCTTTGACCTCACCACTGACCACAAATGATCATTGCAAACACTTCAGATATCGCCCTGCACGTTATCCA